AACCCTGTACAACCCTGTGTAACCCAGTGTAACCCTGTATAACCCTGTATAACCCTGTATAGGCTTTCCAAGGAGCAGTTGGTTAAGTCTGAACTGCCAACCTTTTGGTTCAAACTAACCTTTCAACCCAGTGCTTTATCCTACAGTGCCATGCATAGTATGTTGATGTTACTGTTTAGCGCCATCGAGTTGATTCTGACTCAAAGCAACCCTGTTTTAGTGTTTCTAAGGAGCAGCTGGTGGATTTGAACTGCCGGTCTGATGGTCCAGTGATCCTACAGAACTACACATAGTATGCTGTTGTTCTTGTCAAGTGCTGTCGAGTGGGTTCCTACTCATAGCAACCGTCTGTAGGGTTTCTGAGGAGCAGCTGGTGAGCTTGAACCACCGAACTTGCGGATCAAATTGACTTTGCAGTCCAGCCCATTAACCCATAATGCCACACCAGGACTCCACACATAGTATGCTAGACGGTGATAAAAGGAGTCCTGGTATGCGCCGTAGAATAAGCACTTGACTTCAACAGCACCCAACAAGCTGGAGTTAAATTTCAGTTTACCGGTTGCCAACTGGGTGTGGTACAAACACCCAAGATAATTCCCATAGGTCCATGCTTCCTGGCACTTACATCCGTATGCAGTCCCCTCCCTCCGACAACAAACAGAGCCTACACGTTACCTGGCAGAAATGACTTCGCAGGTGTAGTCTGAAGAGGCTACGTTAGGAAAGTCATTGTGGTCTCGGACTTGCTGTCTCTTGGGAAACTAATTTTGAGGGGCACCAGCTGCCATGTTATGAAGACATTCAAGCTGTTCTTTGTAGAAGTTCAAGTGGCAAAAAACTAAAGCCTCCTGCCAACAGTCAATGAGCAAGCCATCTTGGAAGTAGGTTCTCTGGACAGGCCAGCCTTCAGGTGATGTGGTCCAGCCTGGCTGAGACCTCATGAGACACCTAGAGCTGGACCACTCAGAAAAACGCCCCCACCCCCACCCCCCAGCCACTACTGTCAAGTCCATTCCGACTCACAGCGACCCCACAGGATGGAAAAGAATCACCCTCCAGGGTTTCTAAGGCTGTAAATCTTTACAGCAGCAGAAAGCCTCAGTTTCCTCCCTCACAGTGGTTGGTGGGTTTGAACTGCATACCTTGCAGGTAGCTGCCCAATGCTTAACCCATGGCACCACCAGGGCTCCTCACACAGCAAAGTCCCTTCCAAATTTCTGACCCACATAAGCATTTTTTAGCCACTAAGGTATGGAGCAATTGGTAACTAATATATTAGACAAAAACA